ATTGATGATGACTCTGACCCTTTCACCAGAGATTTTATGAATGTTATGGACTCATTTTGCTCAGCATGTGTCCGGTCCTACGCACAGCAAAGGTCACACACTGGACCTTGTTTTTACTTTGGGTTTAAATATTGATTTTATTTGCTCTGAGGACATTTTTTATTTCTGATCACCATGTTATTGTTTTTAAACTGTCTCTTAATGAGCTTTTGTCCCCTGTTCAATGGAAGGTTAGCTCTCGTACCTTAGATTCCTCCACAGCGGAGAAATTTGCGGATGCTTTTAACCTACAGCTATCTCCTCATAATGATGTTGACTATTTAACCAATCTTTTGAATAATTATATCCTTTTTATGTTAGATGAAATTTGTCCAGATAAAATGAGTAGAGTTTCTGCTTGCAAATTTCCTCCTTGACAGTATTAGTTGTCTAAAACGTGAGGGAGGAAAACTCCCTCACCTAAATGTTCATTTCCTGTACCTAAAGGACCTTTTAAGTTCTTTTAATAATGCTATCAGAGATGCAAGGGCTGCCTATTTCTCACACTTGGTTGCAAAGAGCAGAGGTAATCCTTAGGTGCTATTTAACACCATTAGTGGCATTCTCCAAAAGTTGATTCTGTTCATCTGATGACATGATGTTTCATCATCATCAGGTGACGTCTTCAGTCTCAGCTGACTGCAGGTTTCAATCTTATAAACAGGACATTTGCATAATGACTGAAACCAGCCCACTGAAGGAACAATGGGCTGGGAGGTCAGTTCCTTAATCTTAATTATGCAATTATCCCAGCCCATTGTTCCTTCAGGAAACGCTACGTCCAGATGAACAGAATCAACTTTTGGAGATTTACTTACCTGGATGATTGAGCATGCATAAAGACATTAGTGGCATTGTTACTCCTGCTCTTTCCGCAGCCCCTATTTCATCTAATGAGGACTGTGACAGTTTTCTTTCTTTTCTTCTTGCAAAGATTAATAACATAAGAATGAATTTTTCTCATTCAGCACCTGTTATGTCTATCTCCACCTCATCACGCCCTGTCATTTAGGATACTTTCTCTCCTGTTTCACTACCTGAGCTGGTAAAACTAGTGAATTCAGCGAAAGCATCCTCTTGTCCACTTGACATTGTACCTGCATCATTATTCAAAAATGTCTTCCTGGTTATTGGTCCATCTGTGCTCACTCTAATCAAGTCTTCACTGGCGTCTAGTATAGTTCCGGTTTATTTTAAAAATGCTGCTATTCTCCCACTTTTTGAAAAAACTCAGCTAGACCCCTCTCTTTGGAGGAGCTACAGACCTATCTCTAAATTACCGTTAATTGCTAAGCTTTCATAAAAGGTTGTGGCTAAGCATCTTATAGCAGCTCTGGACAAACATAACATTTGCGATAAGTTTCAGTCTGGCTTTTGTAGAGCTCACTCCATGGAAACAGCCCTTTTTCAAATTCAAATTCAAATTTTATTTGTCACGTACACAGTCATACACAGTACGATATGCAGTGAAATGCTTACACAACTGCTCGTGACCTAAAGAAAAAAAGGCTATGAACAAGATAAGAAATAAATATGAAAATTAAAAAGGGTAAATTTAACTAGGAAGGAATAAAATAAAATAAAATAAAATATAAAAGTTAAAGTTAAAAATGAAATAACTGTACAACACAAATTAGAATGAAGGGTAAATTTAACTGGGAAAGAATACCGTATTTTCACGACCATAAGGCGCAC